CACATCTCCAAGCCCCTCTTCAGCTTCTTCTTCTGGATTGGCTACTGCAACAGCAGCCTCAACCCTCTCATCTACACCCTCTTCAACCGGGACTTCCGCGCCGCTTTCCGCCGCCTCCTTGCTGTCCCCCACTGGCCCTGCACCTAGGGCCCCTCCAGGACACTGGGAATACGGCCACCAGCCCTGCCAGAGACCTTGGACTGCCGTGCTGGTATGCATCTCAAGGTGCTTTTGGAAATGTGGGATTGAATAAAAGGAGGCCAAAGCCAGTGCCCAAAGCTGGCATCTACCCCTTGCCAGCACCCATCGCCACCTAGGTGTCCCCATACATCTTCCCTTGCATTGTGGGTGACCTGCCGGTGGTGACAACTAGCCATGGCAACTACAGCAATCACCAGCCTCCCCCAGATCCTCTGCACACCCGTGACTCCTAGCATCCTCTTGTGCAGGGGAGGGACCCAGTGGCTGCTGTGGGGTACACAAAACCCCATATGTGGCAGCGTCACCAGTGCCAGGAGGAGATGGACGTGCCACTACAGCAGTCCAGTCTAAGCCCTGTGCCTCACTGCCAGGGTTGTCCCCTCTAGCTGCCCGTCAGCATGTGGCTATGCCATAGCATGGGGCTCTGTGGGGCTGGGGTGGGACACTCCACATCCTGGACAGGGTCTTCACTGGGATCTTGCTGCAGAAGGCAAAGCAGAAATGACTTCCCTGTGCTACAAAGGCTGTACTCCCTTTGGAGAGTGTGGGAGATGAGATCACATCAGAACAGGCTCTGTCACAGCCTGAGGTGTGAGGGGCCATGGTGGCAACCATGGGGTGAAGACCTGGGACAACCGCACCCCCCTGGGGGCAGCAGCCACCCCGCACCCACCCTGCCCAGCTCTCTACCCAGCACTGCACAAACACCACGGGGTCAGGGGCTGCTCCACGTCTCCAGCTTTGTGGCTCAAAATAGAAAGTCTCAAAACATTGTACTTTCACTCAGCTAAAAACAGCCACTGGCGCCTGGGAGCTGGAGCCCAAGGAACACTGGTTCCTGCCAGCCCCCATCAGGGTGGGTGCATCTTGGCCCTGGGGCCTGAGGGGCTGCAAGGGACAGGGGTACTTGCAGCAGCAAGGATCCCTGGGCCATCGCCTGCCCCCGCCACATGTGGAGGCTTGTGGCATGAGCTCTGGGGCCGGTGGAGGTTCCCAGTGGGATCGTGCTGGGACGGGGCCCTGGTGCTGACCCCCCGGAGGCAGCCGGTCCCGGCAGTTGGAGCTGTGCTGTCACCATCTGCGGAAGGAGCTGTCCTATCGCTGCTGCCCGGCTTCCCCTCCCTCAGCCGCCTTTCCCCTTTTCGCAATTAAACAACATTTTGCTTCTAAAAATACCCAGGGAGATGAGGGTGCCTGACGGGGACTTGGCCAGGCCAGCTCAGCTGGGCAGAAGGGCTCTCCCTGGGGGGCACCAGCCCCACCGGCAGCACCCCGGGCTCTGCAGTGCCCTGGCTTGGGTGCTCTGCCCTCACCCTCGCCTGGCACAGCTGGAGTCAACCAGGGGACCAGGCACCGTCCCCCATCCTGGGCACAAGTGTGTGGCTCCAGGGGCTGAGGGAGTGTGTGCAGGAGGGGCTGGGTACCAGCCAGAGGTGGAGCATACAAAGACCCTCTGGCTTGGGCAAGGAGATAGCAGCACACCCAGCCTGTGCTGACATGAGGGCAACATCTGAGCAGCAAAGGCAGCTTTAGGCTGATGTCCAAAACACCAAATCTTGAGGGCTGGATGGGGTCCAGCAGCACCTGATCCCCCACTTAACCCCCAGGCACTACCAGGGTGTTGGGGCACTCCAGGAAGAGCTCCTCAACCCAACATCTCCTGATGCATCTCCATCCAGCACATCACCCTGTCCGCAGGAGGGTCAGGTAGGTCAGTCTGTCTCTCTGCAACAGCCAATTCCATTCCAAGTTTGTTTGAAGTCCATTTAATCTGCCACAGTGCGACACTTATTCCTGCCCTGCTGTGACCCCAGTCCTGCTGGGATAGCAGCTCCCACAGCACTGGTTGCTGCTTCCCAGCCGTGGCACCTGTGCTCGTCTGCCCCAATTGCATCCCACATTTTCAAGCTGTTTCTCCAGTTTCTCAATATGATTTTGAAATTCTCCCCTGATAGGCTTGGGTTTGAAGCCCTCTTTGACCAAATCTCCTCCACAGCGCTAAAAATCTTAGTCCTGGTTTCACCACTTGGGCTGCCACTGGCTCTGTTGGGGACACCAGGACTTCTCTGGACACTCGTGCTGCTCCCCAGTGCCCCGTGCCTCTTGCTGGCGGCGGGAACAGCGCTGCAAAACGCCAGCTGGGAGGAAACTGAGAGTAGCAGCCTAAGGGTTAAGTGTGGAAATGGATGGAAACAAAGTCATCGCATTTGAAGCTCAAAATAAGTATGTGCCACCTTTAAAAGGAAAGCAGCTCTAAAAGAAGAAAGCTCACAGTGTGAGTTCATCACTCGTGCCTGAGTGAGATGGGAGATCACCTCTGGGGTAGGGCAGGGCAAAGCACCCTCCTCCTCCTCATCACTGTGGGTTCATAGCCAGAAGATGCAACACCTGATCTCCAGCAGATGCTGAAGGACGTGGTGGACCACAGGCAGTGCCGATTTCATGGGCAATGAGTGCTTGGAGTAATTAGTGTTATTATCAGCCTTGCTGCAGGCTGAGGACATGAATCTCTTGCCTTCTGCCTGTCAGCACAGCCCAGCTGAGCAGTGCCCAGGACCTGTGCTGGCCATGACACGGTAGGACTTCTCTAATTGAAGTGCCAGTAAAAAATGGGGTTTAGAGCAAAGCAGCGGAGGAGCAGCCACCTGGGGCAGCCCCAGCGGGCTGGCAGCACCGCAGCCCCAGCGCCGAGGGATGAGGAAACCTCGAACCTCCCCCGCTGAGGTGCCCAGGGAGCCCGGGCGCAGCACCAGAGCTCGCACCCCCCCACGTTGCAGGCATTGACGAACGCTGGACACAACGGTGCTTGCAGG